CCCTACCGTCTAAACCCTAAACCCTAAACCCTAAACCCTAAACCCTAAACCCCTAAACCCTGTGAGTAGTGGCGCGGTGTCATCTCAGCTCAGGTTCGCCAGCACGTCCTAAGGTTCCTGGACTCCCAGGCACGTCGCCGCTGAAAATGTGGACTTATTAAAGGGTAGTTGGGGGGTCTAGGTACAACCTGCCCTCAAGGCCCAGATCCAAAAGGCCCAAAGATCTTGAAAGAGCTTAATACTGTAGTCTAGGGTTTAGGGTTCAGGGTTTAGGGACTACTTGAGAACCATAGGCCCCACAGTAGTTCCTTTTTGGGGCTAATATCTAGAATCCCACAAGGTAACCCCAAAAAAGGAACTACTATGGGGCCTCTGGGTTTAGGGTTTGGGGCTTTAGGGTTTCTTTTGTTGGGCTTAGGGGGGGTTTTAGACTGACCGACTCCCCTGCGCCTTCCAAAAAAGCCGAACACGGGGTACATGGGTTTAGGGTTTAGGGTTTAGGGTTTGGGGTCTAGGGTTTAGGGTTTAGGGTAAATCCCAGACTCACAAGACTCCACCAGCAAGACTATATAGGGTTTAGGGTTTGCTGTTTAGGGTTTAGGGTTTAGGTATATAGTATAGGTAGTTCTCTAAATTAGGGTCCCTTTTAGGTCCCCATTATAGTACTAGGGTTTACGGTTTAGGGTTTAGGGTTTAGGTATACCCATAGGCCCCATAGTAGTTCCTTTTGGGGATTACCTTATGGGATTCTAAATTTCTAAATATGAGCCCGGAAAAGGACCTACTGTGGGGCCTATGGGTATAGCCCTATCCGTAAGACCCGATACAACCCTCCGACGCGAACTGGCTGGGCTTCCGGGTCTCTCCACGAAGAAGCCTCTTTCTTTGCAGAGGCAGCAGAGGAGTCATCAGACCGCGAAGGACTGTCTTGTACCCTAAATCCTAAAGCCTTAACCCTAAACCCCTAAAGCCTAAACCCAAAACCCCGAAACCCCAAACCTTAAACCTTAAACCCTTAAACCCAAACCCTAAACCCTAAACCCTAAACCCCTAAACCCTAAACCCTAAAACCCTGAGCCCTAATTCCTAAGCGCCCGAAGGACTCTTTTTCCGTTGGCTCCGAGATTTTCACAGTCCGAAGCTGAGCCCGGGAGGGCTGAACATTCTGGGGGTCGGAAGTGTTAGTAGAAACAGGGGCCTAAATTGGTTTAGGGTTTAGGGCTTAGGGTTTAGGGTTTAGGGTTAATTACGAATACTAATTTGGGGGGGTTCCTTATGTATGATAATTATAGCTATAGCCCCCAAACCCTATGCTCAATCTTAAGGCCCCTACATGAATTCCTATCGTTAGGCTTCGCTGTTAGTAGTATATGCTTCGTACACTATAATGCCTCGGCAGCCCTACTCCGCTTATTTAGGCTCCGATACTGCAGGGGTGTCAAACGGTTTAGGGTTTAGGGTTTAGGGTTTAGGGTTCTTATGTTTTGTAAGAGTCCAATACAGGTTGCAGGGTCAGGAGACAAGTAGGTTATGATTGGGTGGATTACAGTTATCTCTCTTATTGGCTACCTACGTGTGAAGTTCCGTGGTCATCTCCGTCAGCCCCAGCTATTGAACACGAAGCGCGAATATAGAAATCTGACGAAAATGTGGGTTGAGGGCTTAGGGTTCTGGAGCCTGGTTCTGCCCACAAAACATTACTTGAGACCGAAATCCCAAGCTCTGTCAACACGGCTCTCATCGTAAGGAAAACGGCGCGACGCCGATCACGGGTAGGGGTCCAATTGCAGCTGCGAAGTAGACTAGGCTCCCGAGCAGTACCCTGTTGCCTTTTTTTTGGTATGGTTCCCTTATTTAAACTGAATAACAGGAAAAAAAGGGTACCTTTACTATTAAGGGGTCACTCAGGAACCTAGCAGAGGAGCCAGAAGAATTGTTGGCACTTATACTTCTCCGTAGGATTTCCTAAGATTTTTTTACTCTCAGGTACCCCTCCCCCCTCCCCCCCATCCTATTCTAAACATTAAGGGCCCGATACCAGGGGTCGTCGTTGTTCCAACTGAAACTCTGCTTGCAACTGCAATGCTGATAGCCAGTTTAGGGTTTAGGGTTTAGGGTTTAGGGTTTAGGGTTTAGGGTTTAGGGTTTAAGTATCCGTCAGGATTCTTCAAACTTCACTTGAACACCTGACTTCCAGCCCCAGAACCCCGAAGACTAAATCTCCAAGAAGATGGTTTGAATAATCACTGATAGTTGGGACCTGAACCCTAAACCCTAAACCCTAAACCCTAAACAGTTAGGACCCTTCCAGTCCCCAAATAGATCGAATCGGGGTATTCTACCCAAGCCGGACCGCAATTTTCTGCGCCGCTCATATTAAACCCTCAGGTCCTGCACTCATACATCGTTAGCAACTCTCAAAAACGGCCTACTATTTTGGGGGCTCCTTACTTTAAGTGTAGTATATTGGACCCCAAAACCCTGCTTCTAGCTATTAATTAAGGCCCCTACACTAAGCCGGAAGACTCTAAATCCTAATTTCGCACTGAGGCCGATGTCAAACCTACCCTCTAAGCCTGAGCTCAAAACCTTAAAACCCTAAACCCTAAAGCCCTAAACCCTAAATCCTAAATCCTAAAGCCTAACCCTCATGAGGTGAATACGACGAAGCATGGTTCGAGCAGAACTTAATGCGCAACTGGGCTAGATTCAGGATTGGAGGGTTTGGGGGTTTGAGGGGTTCAGGGTTTATGGTTTAGGGTTTAGGTCGGGTTTTCGGGGTTTACGGCGTTCAGGGTTTAGGGTTCAGGGTTTATGGTTTAGGGTTTAGGGTTCAGGGTTCAGGGTTTAGGGTTTAGGGAGGGTTTTCTTGTCAATCCTAAACCCGTAGTTTCTGGAAGGGTTATGGGCCCATAGGCCCTATAGGCATACACCCTGAACCCTACACCTCTAGCCCCTACAGCTAAGGGGTCATATCTTACTACTTTGACAGGGGTTGAGGCTTTAGCGTCCCTAGTCCCTAAACCCTGAACCCCTAAGCCCTAATCCCTAAACCCCAAACCCCGAAAATCCTAAACCCCTAAACTGGAGATTGCCTGATTCGGCAACCTCTTGGACTCATGGAAAATATTTTGGGGCTTTTTACCGATTAGAATAGGGTTTTGGGGGTCCCTTGTTATCATTATAGTATAATAACACCAAAACCCTATTCTAACATTAAGTATTTCTGTGATTTTGCTGTGATTCATATCTCTGGTTTTGCTGTGATTTCTCTGTGATTGCAACATGTGCCTGTGATTTGACTGTGATATGGCTGTGCTTTTGCTGTGTTTCGTCTGTAATTTGCAATTGCGCCTGTGATTTTTCTGTGATTTGGTCCTGGTTTGTATCAAGGATGAGGGTAGTCAATAGGCCTTCCTTTTTGTGGTACCCCCCTAAACCCTAAACCCTAAACCCTAAACTGCTACCTATGGTTCATTAACGGAAGTCTTCGAACTCCTTCCGACAACCCTATGAAGCCCTTTCAATACCCCTACCCACACACCTTTAGGTTTCAGGGTTGAGGGTTTAGGGTAAAAAGCGTTATAATATCCTCCTTTTTTGCATAGGCATGCAAGCTCTGCAGTAGGAGCCGGTAGGGTGCCTGTGTAAGAGTTTACCACCCTTCTAGACCCCTTTCAAAACTAAAAATACCCCACACCCTAAACCCAATCCCTAAACCCTACAAAAAATTAAAAAACGCCTTCGATTGCTAGTTGGCGCAGGCATCGACTTGGCCTTTCGCCAGATGTTCGAAGCTGCCGTCGCAGAGCATCAGAAGTCCCTTGGTTCGGTTCTTTAGGTTTAGGGTTTAGGTTACTTGTTTTTTTTGGGTTGGTTTAGGGCTTTCCGGGTTTAATTTTAGGGCTTAGTTTTTTTTTTTCTGGTTGCTGGGATTTTGGAGTTTTGGGAATTGGTGGGGTTAGGATTTGGGTGTTTACTTTGTTTTCTTGAAGAGAGGACTGGGAGTTTGAGATGTTTATTTTTGGGTTTAGGGTTTAGGGTTTAGGGTTTAGGGTTTAGGGTTTCGGGTTTAGGGTTTAGGGTTTAGGGTTTAGGGGCTTCAGCGTGCTGTACAGATTGGAGGGTGCAGGGTAAATCCTGGGTTATCGGTTGTAGTACTGTAGGGGCCGAATCAATTACCTATACTATTTTGGGGGTTGCTTTTTGTAATTATAGGTATAATATACCACATTGTAAGCATTAACCCTATTGTAAGCATTAAGGCCCCTATACTGCCTGTATGTAGCTACCTTAGTTTCGGATTATAGGTTCTGATTCCAGCTCGAAAAGAGATCGTTCAAGAACGTGCGACAGTTCAGTGCGGAAGTGGGTCTCAGGGTTTAGGGTTTTTGGATAGAGAGGATAGAGAAGTTTTGCGGTGGATTTAAGGTTTGCAGTGTTTGAGCGGTACAGGGGTTTAGGTTGGACGATCGAGAGGAAGTACTACAATCAGGGGCATGATTCGGAGGTAGGAACCCAAGGCGTTGGGTTTCAGGTTTGTGGGGCGTCGGGTTCTGCCAAACTTATCGACTCGACCATATCACTATGATTGCCGACACTGTGATTTGCAGCATCTTTCTGGCGTAGCCTGTTTCATAGTTAGCATCCACCTAGACCCCCCCAATTTCCCTCTAATGTACCCTGAATACCCACGGCCCTTGGGGGGGTCCTGGCAGTAGTATGATGTTCGCTGGCCTCGGCAGGCTGAGGGTTCAGGGATCCTGAAATAAGACAAAAGCGGTGGAAAACCCAACAAGGTACCACAATCCAGGATCCAGGTAGGGTGGAATTTTCCACTGCCCCTTTGCAGCCGCTACCTAAACCCTGAACCCTAAACCTTGAACCCTGAACCCTGGACCAGGAACCCTGAACCCTGAACCCTAAACCCTAAACCCTAAACCCTAAACCCCTAAACCCCGAAACCCCTAAACCCTAAACAGCATAACCTGCCTATTGTGCCCAGGCAGCCGCGACCCAGCAGGTCCATGGCAGCAAGCCCCGGGCCAGAGAAAAGCAAAAAGACGCTGAGAACTTTCGGGTTTTTGGGTTTTAGGGTTTAGGGGTTAGGGATT